TCTATTAATTTATTATTCTGTAATGCTATGTTTAATACCGTTTTAAATATGTACATGAACGGTTGGCGTTGATTTGTACTGCAGTGCAAGTTTTTTTATCTTAATTTAATTGAAGAGTCCTGGCAACAGACATAAAAGCTTACTATTGATGGATAAAGGGAATTTTGTTGTGAGAGACTCACGGCGATGTTATTCAGATCCTAATGAGTTTTTACTAATTTCTTGACTCTTCCTAATTTTGCGTTTTATACAGGGTATCCCGTAACTGGCGGTAGAAGCGAGCGAGAAGTGATTCTACATAAAAAACTGAATCAAAGATATAGAATAAAATTTGTTCATACGATGCTGTATTTCCTAGAGAAGTAAGTCTGAACATTTGTCGAGCACCGAATGGATCGATAATCCAAACCGCGATTTTAAAAGTACTCACTCTTCAGAAATTCGTTTCACCCCTTGCACACAAGAGGCGACCCCCAGTCGCCAGATGGTTTGATACAGGGAAATTAGAAACTTTGGTATTTACCATTAACCTTTGTATACTGCATCAATACGTGAAATATCGAAGGAAAATAGCTTTGTTCCCTAATTTATGTGTGATTTCTTGATAAATTCATTTTAAAAAATCTTGTCCACATCTAATTAGAAGGTATAGAATATTTCAAGTGAAAAGCTTTTGAATGCAAAGAGTTAACTTGTGAACTATTGGAAGCGATGTTCACATTGTTGCAAACATAACTGTGCTCGTCTTATTAAATTGCATCGAACGTTCTCTAATGTATCGTTATGCAATTTTAATTGATAAACGTTATAATAATTGTTTGTTTTAACTGTTCAACGTTCGTTATGTTATCAATATACACAATCGACTTGACATGACTCGCGTAGCAGCACAGGTTACATCGGCAAGTACCGAATTTTAAATAAAAATACCCCATTAATGAAATTATATAATATTGAATGCGCTAATTGATTTATCTTAGTGTTTTATTTAGTGTAGTGAAGGACGAATAAGAATTTGTGTAAACAATAGCAAGGAAAATGCGAAAATCTATATGCACTTGCAGATTTCAAATCTTTTAATTATTTCTTATTGCTTATCAGTTGCATTGCCTTGGCAGTTTATTGCGTCATCGTTATCATTTTACGGGATTAACCGTTCGACATTTTTCTTGTGGGAAGTAGTGTATTACTCCTGGCATTCTCGTCTGCAAACAAATTGTTATTAAACGTTTATAATCAGCAGTATTAAGGATGTAGTCTTAGTATTCTCCTTCTGAACAATGCACGGTGCAGCAGAAACGTATTTGGGAAAGATGAAGCTCAGGATTGAGTTGTGTTTTTTATGGTTGATTCGATTCAACGGATCTGACTGGTCTGTAAAATATAATACAAGCTTTACATTATATTATAAGGCATGCAAAAAGTTTTGTTACGTTTTAACAATTCGCGCGACATGTTTCCTATTCTGCATAAATTTTAAGAGGAAACGAAATATTTAATTTCTATTTTATAATATCGTGTCAAATATTTGTATGGGTTATTAACATCATAAAGGGGAAGTTTACGGTTTGCTGTACAATTTGGTGTGATCTGAAACATGTACGCAATAATCTTTATATTATTTTCTTTACGGTAGGTACGGATAATAATAACACTGTGCACACATAGCAAGATAGGTATTTATCTGTTTAAAGAAAATATTGATGTTTTGCTGTAGTTTCAGTCGCGATTCTTGAAATTACAACCTGATTGCCATGATAGCAGATAAACATGATACAATTTTCTTGAAAGAATTATCTGTGATTGATAACAATCGTGGCTTTACTGAAGATTTTCGTCTTACATTGTAGTTTTTCTTTATTTTTTCGCGAATTAGTTATTTCTCTAGCCCGTATGTTTGCTCTTCCGTTTCCTTCGATGTTTTTTTAAAAAGAGGTCCAAATTTCTATGAAATGTGTTTTTCTTTGTATATTATAGATATATTATTGACAAGCAGTATTTCTTCAATTGTTCCAGTTACGTTATTCAGTACAGTCGAACCTGTTTTTGTGCGGTCCTTTTCTATGAGATTTTTTGTTGTGTGATTTATATTGTGCGATTTTTTTTTAACAGAGAAAGAATTAACACAAGAATAGTTATAATATATTATATATAATATATTATATAGTTATATAGTTCATCATAAGAAGATAAGCGTTTTGGACTACGACGAGTAGCAGTGAATTATGTGCAATGTGAAAATTTCTCCATGTATGAGAAATTAAATTTATTGAAAATGATTCCACGTGTAATTTAATTATTTATTTTGTTTAAAAGCACTTTCTCACTATTTCGTAAATTTCTGAACATTTTTTTCTTTGCGGTTTCTTTTATGCGGTCCCTATCTACCGCACAAAAACAGGTTTGACTGTATACTATTTATGGTAATAAAATATATAGATACTATTCACCTCTCACGTTACGACCGCCGGCCTGAGCCTTAAAAGTTGGGCGCTCGGCTCGATA